TAGGTTCTGCATTATGGAAACTTTGAGACTGTGTAGTTCAATTGGTTTAGTTTACAGGTTCAGAAAGGGAGACTTGTTCAAAGTTATGTAAGCAGTGAGTGACAGACTCACAATCTAATACTATTCCAATTATTCCAAGTGCTCTACACTTGTCAAATAGCAGCAGAACACTCTTGAGAAAGGATGACCACATGTGATGTGAAGATGATGGTGATGGGCATTACACTATATTTTAGACCCTCATTAAATCACTTTACAAGTATCCTCTTGATTAATCCTCAGAACAAGCCCAAAGTTAGGTACAACTATAATCTCCATTTCAGATTTAAAAAAAACTTTTAAAATTTCATAATTAGTAAATAATAGAATTCTAATTCAGGAAGTCTGATTTTTGAGCTAAAACTCTTTTAATTGTATGAGATGCCGAAGACTCAAATGTTAGCAGAAAGGAAGGTGGGTGCCAAGAAGTACAATTGCATTTTTCTTGGGCTGAACTTGCATATATTTAATACAATTGCATCCTTCTTGGGTTGAACTTGAATTTATTTTCCTTCATTAGATATGGAAAGGTAATGTTTGGCTTAGAATTCAACATTATGTGATGCTTACATGTATTCTATATGGTTTCAACTCAGGTAGAAATGTGGAGCAATAAGTCAGAGTGAAAATGTATTGACTCCTACTATTGGACTAAACCTGAAATATTTTTTGCAGCAAAACTGTGATTTTCATGCATATAGGGAGTACTTATACCCCAAACAAAACATTTCACCATTTCTCTGGTATGGATAACCATTATCAACATAAAATGACACCTTAGCCAAACAACAGTATTTAGTTTGCTTGATACCAAAATGAAAGAATAAGTGACTCAAATTTTTCTAGTGATGAGATGCTATGAGTTAGTGGCTATTAATAATATAGTTTAAAAGAGATCTATATTTATGACTCCAATGTTTCCATCCAAGAAAGAAATAAATCTTGTTACTTCTACAGGTAAGTGGTCCACAGTGAATAGGAGGCTGAGTTCACATTTCATCAGTCATTCATTTATCTACTGTGCTTAATCAATACAAGTATGAGGCAATCTCAAATTTTAAATTTCAATGATGTTTTCATTTCATTCAATTACAAATTAAGCAATATTTTAACAATCTGCTGAACATACACTCAGGGGATAAAACAAAATTTCCCAATACATAAAAGTTTTATTTGTTGGAAAACCACATATCTTTAATGCATTGTTATATACACAGAAAGAGTGCTGACTATAAAATTTTTCTTCCACTGTAAAAAATTATAGGGTTTTCACATAAGAATAAGTATTACCCAAAGGATATACAGTACACAGTTGCCCAAAGAACTTATATCCTGAGGTCTTATCCATCGACAAGCTATTTTGAGGGAAAGTAGTGAAACAAGTCAATTTTATTTGTGTAATACTAGAATTTCTTGTGTGAAACATTGAAATTGAAAGAAAAGATCACAAAAGAACACAGAAACACGGGTGAAAAACAAGTTACAGACATAAGACATGAAAACACTCACTGTGATGAACTCAAAGCAAGAAAATGATCAATAAGGGTTAACCTAATAAGCTTAGGTAGATACAGTTTTGAAAGAGGTACATATGATTGATAGAATTCATAAAATGGCAGTCTACAGGCCAAACATTCTTCAGAAACAATTTGGGGCTTGTATATTTGCTATTGTTTTTCCAACAGAGTTTAAAAATTATACTTTATATTTTTAAAATATATTTTTTCTGTTTTTCTTAATAAAGTTGAGATCACATTACAGAGAAGGAATAAACTAGAGTTTAGTAATTGCTGTCCATTACACAAAGTTTTCCAGTTTGCGCCTCTGCTTTATTCATCCTTTTTATTCATTTACATGACTAACCTGCCCCCTATAGTCAAGTGAGCTCAAATCCATTTAGGTATCACCAAAAAATTTAAAGTTGTGAAGGTAATCAACGACAGAATGTATTGAAATATTGGGTATCATTAGAGAGGTATTTTTTCATCCATCTCTTCATTCATTAATCTATTCATTCATTCAACAAATACTTGTTGAATATCTGATAAGTGCAAGAATCTAGAATCAGATCAGTAGATAAATATTTGGAATTTCTTTTCATTGAGTTCAAATACGGTCTTGCATCTGGAAAAGCTTGCCAAGTATGTAAAAGAGAGAGCTAAGGAAAAAATATTGATGTATTTTAAGATATGAAATAAGCTCTTTTACTGACATGACATGATTGTCATGTCCTGTGATGCTTGCTCCTTCTGCCATGATGTCCTGTCTCATCTCAGGCCTAGAGCAATGAAGTTGGCCATCTATGGACTGAGACCTCTGAAACCATGAGATCACACAGACAATGAGGGCCAACTACATAAGGATCTTGGCAACTGGGACAATGAAATGGACAAGAAAAGTGGATGAATAAGGGAAATACTCTAGAGAAAACAAATTAAGACTTTGTGTTGAAGTTGCCTCTAAGGGATGTTTCCTTCAAAAATAAATAAGGAGAAAATGGAGTCTGCAGGTGTTGCTCAGTGGTGGGGTACTTGCTTAGTACATGTTGAGGCTCTGAGTTTCATTCCCAGTACCGCTAAAGCGGAAAAAATCATCAGGAACAGAAATAAGTAAAGCAAAGGGCTTGAGGACACAAATCATAAAAAGGTGTAAGTAGGTGACTCTGAGTGAGTGATGTATACATTTGACAAGTGTCCATTCAAGACCATCAGAGATTTGAGAGGGAAGCTCTCTGAATCAAGAGCAGAGAAAGAGACTTACGCGAGAAAACATAAAAGTGGTAACTCAAACTTTGATAACTGGAAAATACTGATTTTTCAGGTATACCCACAGAAAATTTTCTTTTTTTACCTCAATCCTTAGTAATAAATGTTATCTTTAAGAATATATAAAAGAATATGAAATAAGAAATGCTAAGGAGTGCTAATAATTTAAACAGCCCCAAAGATGGGAAAATTTTAAGAAGGAAAGAGTAATCAATAATAATAAAATTGTGCCAAAAAGTATAGTTAAATAAAGATAAAAAACAAAGACCTTTGTACTTAAAAGAGACCAATAAAGCCACACTTAGTCGTGGAAAACTGAGAATAAAGGGTGTAAGAAAGAAGGAGCGGTCAGAATAAAATGGGGGTGGCTATGGAGGGAAGTGGTGGGGTTGGATGAAGAGAGGGAGGTGGGTTGGTTATTCCATAGTCTATTAAGATGACCAGTGGAGAGGACTGAATATATGCATAAGAAAGTTCTATTATCAGATAGTTCATGAGTATTCTCATGTGTTGGAAAGGACCCAATCCAAATGTACTATTTACTTAAACTTTAATATTAGAGCAAAATTTGGCAACTTTTTCATAAACCATATTCTCAAGGTCATTCCTTGGAAAACTAAACTAATTTTTTACCATAGAAGTCTTCTTTAATTGACATCAAAATTTAGTGATAATGAACTACTAAAGAAAATATGAAAATCTGTTGATTCCCAATGCTGACTTGTTTTCTGGCTTTCTACTTGTGATCTTAATTAGAAATGATTGTAAATGTTTCTGTTCTTTCTCTCTTTCTCTCCTTCTCTCTTTCTCTCTCTTTCTTTCTTTCTTTCTTTTCATTTGTTTGGATCTTTTGCAAGTAATGTTGTTTTCCACAGAGGTATTTGCTGTTGGATCAATGAAATCAGCTGGTATCATTCTACAGAGCCTTCTACATATTCAATAATCAAAAGAAAGAAAAATTAAGATACACATGACAGGATTGTGGCGTTCAAACTAGGAAAATCATGTTTATTGCATTCCTTTGTGGACCTACACCCAATATGTTATTTCTTCCAATTTTGATGTTAGAGATAGCTAATGGAAAATCCATGTTCACCAGATAAGGATCAAATAACCTAAGTAAAAGAAAAAGAAAAGTTGAATGTGTTTGGTTATAAATGGCCTGAGTAAGATGTCTTATTAAGATATGTTTGTTTCATTTCTGTTGCTGTGAAATAAGAAGAAAAAAGATAAAACCTGCCATCTGATTGTAGCTTAAAAATAAAAACTCCTTAAACTATTTTTTTCTGGGTAAATTTTAAGCAAAATGTTTATAATGTAATTTTTAAATGAAGGCACAATTCAAAATGGAAGCAAAACTGATTATAAATTACATCCTATTGCCATATACAGTTCTGCATCTGGAATCTGATACAAAAATAAATGTTTATTGCTTATTTCTTATTCAAGTGGTGCATATACTACAGAACTAATATTTGAAAGGGCCTATCTATATTTACTGATAATTAAGATATGTTGCTTATTGGAAAATGAGAGTAGGATTCCCAAGTACATTTGTCATGCATTCTGCAAAAATGCATGGTTCAGTCAACTCAGTTTTTTTCCGATGATGTATGAGAAGAAATCTCAAGAGCTTGCTTCTTGAGGTCTTAGTTTACAAGTGGAGTTTCATCAACCTTGAAGTATACCTGTGTCCAGCCTTCAGAGCCCATCTGTACTGGATCCAGGTATTCATTATCACCACCTCCAATTCTCTCTTTCATCTCCATCCCCATAATGGCAATGGCAATGATCACCCAGAGGTAAAGCCTAGAAAGCCTTATGATCTATTTTTTGTACAGTTAGGCTTAGGGATCTTGAAATTCTCAGCCTATCATGTCCCTAAGTAGAATTGTTATACAGAGTAATTTTGTAGAGACTTCTCTCTTTAAGAGTCAGTATAGAGATTTCGATTAGGGAACACAAATCTTAGAAATCATTCTGTTAATATAACAATGACTGATTAGAAGGTGACAAATCAATTATATAATCTATCCAAATAGATTACATATTCAGCTGAAAATAACTAAAAATGACTGCCATAGGTCTGTATCTATATTATATTAAGTACTAAAGAAAGGACTCATTTTGCTAGGAATTCCAAATTTAAAACAGGAATACAGGATTCAAACAACTGGGCAACATGTGGTCACTTACCCCTGCAAAGCTTTCTCTCCAAACCAATCTCCTTTTCCTAAAGTCCTAAGAAAGACTGGGTCTTCACTAGGTGAGTCTTCACGAGTAACATTCACCTGCAAAAAGAAACAATAAAGTCTAAGTCTGCTGCATACCCAGGAGGATCAGGTGAATAGCAATTGATAAGGTTAATTTCATTACTCCTTTTAAAAATATGTGTTAAAAAAAGAGTTTAGATTACCATTAACCAGTTCAAAGAATAATATCAGAAATTATAATTCAATGACAAGAAATTATTCTAAAACATTTGTTACCATTTCAGGTTATATTTAAGAAATAATGCATTAGGTAATCTTAATTTCACTTACTCTTCCTCTATTCTAATTTTCTTACACTCTTAGGCAACCACTCTAATAGTGAGCATTCTATCAATCTATTTATATGTTCATAGATATGTTCATAGATATGTAAAAATATATGAATACATATCTAATCACAGGTATCATTCTGAAATGTATTTTTCTTTCAACATTGTTTTAATTATTTATTACATGCTTATTAATTTTAATGTATTAGAGTTTTATTGTATAAATACATTTTCTTTCAAGTTGGGCATTTGTATTGTTTCCACTTTTTTTGTTTTTTCTTGCAATGAACATTCTCTACACACCTCTGCATGCACATCCAGTTTCTCTAAGAAATTTCTATTTCCCTCAGAAGAACCCAACCTTCATTCAAAGGCCCATTCCATTTTCACAAAGCCATACTGCAGGCTCTACTGGGCTATATATAGCCCTTGTGATCCACATGCTTCATTCAACAGGATTTCTTTTTTAAAAGATATACAAATCACATACATGTCTTTTTTTAACATAAATAGTGTATTCTTCAAAGAAAGGTGACTTTTTTGGCATTCTCTACAATTTGTAAGAAGTTCATAATAAATTGTCATAATTGTTTAACAGAAAACTTTATTACTAACAATATTTCCCAGCGCATACAGGACTTGTGACGTGGGTGACAACCCATAGAAGGTAAGTGCTTTCTTGTTGTGTGAACAAAGACATAAATAGAGTAAGTTCTACCTTTGTATTAAATCACTTCTACCTTAAGCTCTGTAATGTTCATAATACTGTCTATGTGTCATCCAAATGGTTAAATGGTTAAAATTCACCTACCTGGAAAATGTAACGAAGCAGAAAAACTAATTTCTTGAGACAATGCCAGACACTTAGACACATTTAAAAATACTATGCTTCAGATTTCTGAATCTTAGGATTGGATGTCAATGACCAGAATTTTTATTAGTATCAGTAGCCTATGTAAGGTGGAAGGAATTCAATTATTATTCTCCACTGATCCATTTGATTACTCCTCTACACAGCATTTCAAACCATGGAAATTTAGTTTTTAACACTCTTATTTACTACAAAGCTATATCACAGAGACATTCATTTGCATAGTGATGAGGCATTTATAGATGTGGAAACTTTGGTAGGTTGTCATATTTAAAATAAAAGTTAATGGGCCCTATCCTTGGGTTTCTGATTGATTCAAGTTAATATATTTAGCCAAAATTCATTTCTGCTATTTGTATATCCTAATATATATATATAATAGAAGAATTAGCAAATTGTATATATACAATTTGCTAATTCTTCTATTAGAATGATGTGGTTTGCTTCCCATTTTAGTTATATATATATATATTTTATGGTGATATGAACACTGTTTCTATGAACATTCTTCTACATGTTTTCTGGTGTCCATGGGTAGTAGGGTAAATACTTATGAATAAAGAGCAAGTTTATTAAGTGTGTGCATCTTCAGTTTACTAGGTACTGACTCACTCATAATACGTACGCACATTCATACCATCAATGAATGAAAGTTCATCTTATGCTATACATTCATCAGCACTTGGTACTATAGGACTTTGATTGTTTTTCTAGGAAGACAAGCAGTAAATAGTATTTTCTTGAATTATAATGGAGGTGGAGCAATTTATATTATTTTTGATCCTTTGTGTTTACTTTCTTATGATGTGTCTGATCATCCTTTTGCTTACTTTTTTGTGTATTATTCATTTTATTGTTCTATTGTATTTATGTTTTATTACTTTTGATGGTTTAGACTTGGTTTATATTTTACTACCTTCATGTCTTGTTGGAGAAGTTATTAATTTTAGGGTAATAACATTGAACTATGTTATCCTTGTTTCTATTTTTTAAAAATCTTAAGAAATCCTTCCCTACTCCAAGAAGGTAGAAGTATTCGAGTTGTTTTTTAAATTATTTTCTGATTTGTTTTCTTTTATACTTAAGTTTTAATTGACTTTTTTATATGGTGTGAGGTAGGTAACCAAATTTTTTATGTCCCTATGTATAATCATTTTTTAATTTCCATTGCCTGTGTTGTCTTAATCAAGTTTACAGATAATCATGGATCTATATCTGGGTTCAGTTTATTTGTCTACTCCTGAGGCAAATTACAGTCATTTTTTCTTCATTACCTTAATCTTAAGTCAAAATATCTACTAAATTATCTCCTTATAGGTTCCTTTTCCTTTCAAATATTTTCCTATGTTGATCTTCTGCTTTTAATGATGATATCTCAAATAAAATTTCCTCGTAAAAGGACATAGCATTTTTATTAGTTTTATTCCTGGATATTTGATTTAATAAATGATTATTAAATAACATTTCTAACTAAATATTATCAATATTTAGAAGTGCATGTAGATTATTAAATTATCATGAAGTAAAATTGAATTTTGCTTTTGGTTTACAGCTCTATGAATTTAAATGCACATATAAATTTGTATAACCTGCATCCCAATTAGACACAGAACAATTTATCACCTTAAGAAATTCCCTCATGTATGTGTTTATACTCACATCCTCCCCAAATCTTGACCTTAGCAACCAAAAGTCTATTGGCCTCAGGCTAGTTTACTCTTTTCAAGAATGCCAGTTAAATGGAAGCACATAATCCTTAATTTTTTGAGATTGCTTTTTCTTATTCACATAATACTTTTGAGATTCACCCAAGTCATTATGTAGTTCAATAGTTTATTCTTTTTACTGCCCAGTAGTATTCCATTGAATGAATATCACAGTTGCTTTATCCATTCACTTGTTGAAGCATATTTAGCGTGTTTCACAATTATGAACACAGAAATTATAAACATTGTAACAGTTTTTTATGTAAACTATATCTCAGATTTCTAGAATACAACAAAGTATGATTGCTTTTTTTAACTTTATGAGAAAATTTCAAATTGCTCTTCAGAATGGCTTTACCATTTCCAATCACTCTGCATCCTCATTAGCACTCTGTATAATACATTGTTTTTTTCATTTTAAACATTCTGTTAAGTATCCCAGGTTTTTCATGTGCAGCTTTGCAATGATCATGATATTGAGAATCTCTTCATGACACATCTTCCATTTTTATATCTCCTTTGCTGATGTATCTTTTCAAGTCCTTTGTCCATTTTTAAAAATTGAGTAGTTTTGTTTGGGGGTATTGATTATATAGGCTCAATACAAGCCCTTTGCACATATATAATTTGCAAATATCTTTCCCTGTTAGTTGATTATCTTTTTAGTCTCTTAACAGTATCTTTCATAGAATAAAATTTCATAAGTATGATAGAGCCCAATTTACCTTTTATTCTTTATAGTTTGTGCTTTTGGTATGATGTCTAGGAGGTTTTTTGTTTTGTTTTGTTTTTACCAAACCCTAAATCATAAAGATTTTCTTCAAAACAGTTTGTAGATTAACATTTTTCTTTTAAGTCTTTTATCATTTTCTATTTAATTTTTACACAGGGTATGAAGTTTAGGTCCAGTTTTACTTTTCTTTCTTGCCTATGGCTTACTAATTGTTCAAACACTACTTGTTGAAAAGACTCCCTTATTCACTGACTGTTCTCATTCATTTATTGCTTTTTGTTTCATCATTAATTATGTTAACTGTAGGTACATTGTAGAAGCCATCTGAGAATTTTTATTCTGAATAGAAGTTGCATTAGCAAATGGCTTTACTGAATTGGTTGATATGATAATTCAATTGTTCTTTAGACAATTCATATTGTGAGTTTTATTAAGTGATTCATTTTTTTCAATATTTAAATGATAGTAAAATATCAAGATCTGCACTGTCCAGTATGATTACCACTAGCTACATGTAGCTATACAGCTATTGTAATGTGGCTACTGGTGCTAAAAAATTGAATATTTGATTTAGCTACTTTTAATTTAGATATCAAATGAGACAAAATGGCCACTGAATTAGCCTGTATATACATGGAACATTTTAATAAAGAAAAGTATAGTATACTGAACAGTACTGATCTAGCTAAATTATAACTAATTTTAATAATATATCTATCTACATAAAAAACAAGCTAAAATCATATCATCTTTAATAACTTTTTTATTTCTAAATACTGTATCCTTTTCTTAATTTAACATAATAGTTGGGATATCTAATATCACACTGAATAGAAATGGTGATAGCATGCATCATTATCTTATTCTTTTTTTTTTTTAATTTTTTATTGTGGGTTGTTCAAAACATTACAAATTTCTTGACATATCATATTCCACACTTTGATTCAAGTGGGTTATGAACTCCCACCTTCACCCCATACACAGATTGCAGATTCACATCAGTTACACATCCATTGATTTACAAATTGCCATACTAGTGTCTGTTGTGCTCCGCTGCCTTTCCCATCATCCACCCTCCCCCCTCACCACCTCTCCCCTCCCCTCCCCTCCTCTCTCTCTACCCCCTCCACTGTATAACCCTGAGGGTCTCCTTCCATTACCGTGCAATTTCCCTTCTCTCTCCCTTTCCCTCCCACCTCTCATCCCTGTTAAATGTTAATCTTCTTCTCCTGCTCTTCGTCCCTACTCTGTTCTTAGTTACTTTCCTTATATCAAAGAAGACATTTGGCATTTGTTTTTTAGGGATTGGCTAGCTTCACTTAGCATAATCTGCTCTAATGCCATCCATTTCCCTGCAAATTCTATGATTTTTTCATTTTTTAATGCAGAGTAATACTCCATTGTGTATAAATGCCACATTTTTTTTATCCATTCGTCTA